GACTGCAGTAAATGTGAAAGATATGAATAAAAATTATGTTTATTCAGCCAGCTGCTCACATACCCGTATTTTCTTCCTGTGTTCGGTCGAAGTCCACAGTAGGCGATTGTCGAGTGCGCGCGCGCGATCATTGGTAACTAAGCAACAGTGGAGACTCAGACTGTCAGCTGTCAGCCGATGACGGTGCTGTGTGGTGTTCTGAGAATATTAGCTCAAATGGATAGTTCATCCGAATCAGATGTTGAACACACGGAGGAGGTTTGATCGCGCGCGCGAACTCGACAATCAACTACTGTGGACTTCGACCGAAAACAGGATAAAGAGATTATTCCCTGCCTTCGTGAAAGCTCGGATCACAGTTAAGACTGATATATCAGCCCAGGCATCCACGATCCCTTGGCAGATAGTGGCGTAAATCGCCCGGCGCTGTCTCCCCCGTCTTGGTGAACGTGTGTTCACCATCCGTATATAAGGCGCTCTGGATTATAAGGCGCACTGTCGTTTTTTGAGAAAATTAAAGACTTTTAAGTGCGCCTTATAGTGCGGAAAATACGGTATATAAAATTAACCATAAAAATCCATCTCACAAGACCGAAGCAAGACACACACACAACTTGACGCAAATGACGCAGCGGCAACCCATAGCGACGCGTTATTATAGCAACAACACCTCAGACTGACAGAAACGTAAAAATAAACGTGAATTTAGGCCACTTTAGTTTTGTACACATTGTCATGTTAATTATAAGCAAATAAATTTTTTTTATTGACCACAATATACCAAAAGGTGCTATAAAATTGTTATTATTATTGTTATTGTTATTTACAGTTCGTATTATGCTCTGTTCATACTGTTCTGTCTAAATAAACAGGACATTTGCATTTACATTTGGGTTATGCAGTGTTTTTAAATTATATTTTACACTGGGGTGCCTTGAGATTTTATGCACTTTTGAAAGGTGCCCTGACTGAAAAAAGTTTGAGAAAGGCTGTTCTAGAGTACTCAAAACTATATGAAGTGAATGTTGGCTTTCTGTTCCTGGATCAGGAAAAAGCATTCGATAGAGTGGATCATGGTTTTCTGTATGATACAATGACGGCTTTTGGGTTTGGAGATGGTTTTATGTCATGGATCAAACTCTTATATATGAATGCCTCTTGTGTTCTAAAAATAGGAGGTGGGTTAAGTAAACCAATAAGTTTGCTTAAAGGCATAAGACAAGGATGCCCACTGTCCGGTCAGTTATACGCTTTAGCAGCGGAACCACTCCTATGTGTGTTAAGAAAAGAAATGTCTGGTTTAAAGGTGGATGGTTGCTGCAATGCGTTTAAGATAACAGCATATGCAGACGACATAACTGTAGTCGTGAAAGATCAAAGAGATATTGATGTTGTCATTCAAAGTATCGCTTTATATGAGAGAGCGTCTTCTGCTAAACTGAACTGGAGTAAAACAGAAGCTTTTTGGTGCAATGATAAAGAGAAAGGCTGTCATGTCAATGCAAAACCTGTTATCCCTGGAAATGTAAAGTGGGAAAAAGATGGTTTTAAGTTTTTAGGCATTTTTTTGGGTTCAGAAGAATATCAAAGAAAAAATTGGGAAGGTGTTAAAGATAAAATTTGTAACAGAGTATCAAAATGGAATTGGATTGTACCTCAATTGTCATATAGAGGGAGAGTACTGGTTATTAATAATCTTGCTGCCTCTATTTTATGGCATAAATTAATTGTGTTAAACCCACCAGATGGATTCATTAAGGAAATTCAGAAAGTGTTTGTTAGTTTCTTTTGGAATGGACATCACTGGTTAAGAGAATCAGTGCTGTATCTGCAGTTAAATGAAGGAGGTCAAGGCCTTATGGACATCAAGTCCAAGGTAGCTGCTTTCAGACTGCAGATTGTGAAAAGACTCCTTTATGATCAGCCACAGAACTGGACTGAAATAGCTTGTGTGTTATTAAGAAGAGTGGGGCAGATGAATTTAGATAGACACCTTTTCTTAATGAATTTGAAGGAAGTAGATTTTAACGGACTCTCTTCTTTTTATGCATCAGTCTTAAATGTGTGGCAAATATTTATTGTTAAAAGAGAGCTGTCTGAAATAACCCATGAGTGGGTGCTTGAAGAACCTCTGATTTTTAATCCACTTTTATCTAGTGGGTTGTTAAAATCAAAAGGTGTTTGTGCAAGCTTGATTAAAGCAGGAATATGTAAAATATGTCATCTTCGGCACAATCGGCAGAGGGACAAATGGATTTCTGCAGAAACACTGGCCTCGAAGATTGGTGTTCATTCTGTTAGGATTGTTGAAAAATTATTAGTGGAGATACAGGAGTTTTTTACTGTACCTGTGCAAGCTGAGATGGTTGAGACCGTATTCCCCAGCATCAGGGTGGGTGTAAATGTAGGAGACTGGCAGGAGGGGGAGGGAAGATTACTGTTTTTTAAAACTCCTGAAATTAGTCGTTTTGACACAATATCTAAGAAGAGTTTTTATCTTGTATGTGTAAAATACTTAAATTTAAGAGCATTGCAAGATCTCCCAGAGACCAAATGGACTAATTTAGTTGAAGCAGGAGCCTCTCCAAAAGGATGTTGGAGGACGTTGTATAAGAAACCAATCGAGAAAAGAAGTGGAGATTTGCAATGGAGGATTTCCCATTGGATTTTAGCAACGAACCGTTTCAAAGTTCATCTGAATCCTCTGCAAGGGGAAGAGTGTTTGTTTAGTGGGTTACCAGAAACAGTGTCTCATATATTTATTGAATGTTTCAGGCTAGCAGGAATTATGGGTGTGTTAAAAGACCTGAGTCATGATTTTGGTTTCATTTTTACAAATAGCTTTTTTATTTTTGGACCAAAATATAGCACCTCAAATAAAAGCAAAATTGTTGTGATAAATGTTTTATTTGGGATGGCAAAAATGGCTATCTGGCTGACAAGAAAGAGAAAAATGCAGTTTAATAGCGACAATGATCCTTTGGACATGTTCAGAGCCCTGGTAAAGAGTAGGCTGGTTATGGAGTATAAGTATTATGAACTGGTGAATGATACCGATTCTTTCTTCTACTTATGGGGGATTGAAAATGTTTTATGTAAACCCAATGGAGAGGGAGGATGTAATGTATTGCTGTAAAAGAGGCTGTTTGTTTTTAGGTTTTTTTAAAAGATTTTTTATCTGGATATGATTTTAATAGTAATATAGTAATGTGTTAAAGGTGTATACAGTTGTGGTATAGATTGTAATTAAAGAGATGTTAAAAGTCTAAAAAAGTCTCTCTCTCTCTCTCTCTCTCGCTCTCTCTCTCTTCCCAACTCTCTCTCTCTCCCTCTCATTTTTATCTTCCTCTCTCCTCTCTCTCTCTCGCTCTCTCTCTCTTCCCAACTCTCTCTCTCTCCCTCTCATTTTTATCTTCCTCTCTCATCCTATTTTAATTCGTGTTTGTAATGTTTTTTGTTTTGTTTGTTTCGGGTGTATACACATATATATATATATATTCTGTGTGAATTGTAGTTCGATGTATTATTAGTCCAATTATTAAAGCCATTATATTCTTGATTGCTTCTGTCTAAAATGCTCATTTTTACAAAGTCAATGAGATGTTGATCCTAGCTACAAAAGCTTTTAGTATTGACTACTTTGAGTAGTTTAATTTTATAAACACAGGAAAATTAATGTTCACGGCCATAAAATTGATATTTCTTGGAGTTTATAAGAAGGGATAACTTTGTTGAGAAGTTGATAAGTTAATCTTACGGCCGATAGCTAAATTAGATAGTGTCAGTGCTCTTGCTGTGCGCTGATGGAAACAGATATAGACTGAACTGTTGCCACAGATATAGACTGAACTGTTGCTGAGGGGTTGCCACGGCGACACCCATGAGAAGTCATGTTTAAGACTTGCTGCTAAACAAAACGCTTGTTTTCTGTCCAAAAATTGGATAAACACCGACTTTTTATGAGGAAAATGCAAGAGAAGTGACCACAACACACCAGAGGAGAGACAAAGAAGAAAAAGATAGAGAAAGAAAGAGACAGAAGGAAAAAAGATACAGTTGGAAGAAGGAGCTCAGAAACAGAGTTCAGAAAGAGAGCATCAAGCCAGAGATAGGGACTCGAGTTTGAGACTCGGACTCGAGTGCGACTTAAGTCGCACACACAGTGACTTCAGACTCGACTTGAGACTCGTCCTCGAAAGACTTCAGACTCGACTCGGACTCGAGCTGCGGGACTCGTGAACAATGTTTATTTTTAGGAAACGTCTGATGAGCTCGCTGTTATTCCCCTCCCTCCGACCCGTTACCTAAAACCTGCCTACATAACACGTACTACGTGCGCGTGGCCACACATGAGAGGACAACAAACAAACATGTCGACTGCACCGGCCGCTGCTGTGCCATTCATCGTAAGCTTTGGGTTTAAAAACTTCAAACAAGACGGGCCAAATAAAAGAAGCGCTCAATGCAAAATATGCGGTATCTGCGCGCGTGCACCTCATGGTGTTCCATGAGCGAGAGAGAACGCGAGAGGTATGGGTGAACGAAAGAGAGAGAGAGAGAGGGACGTGCGAGAGGTAGTGCGGCGCGAATGCGCTACGGCGCTCTGCAATCAAATACGATTTTAAATAGGCTTAGTAAAAATAAAATAAAAAATCGAAAATCAATGTGTGGCGGTCAGCCAGTGTTGATATTGTGGCGGGCCGCCACAAATATATGAACGTATGGGGAACCATGTATTTCACATCATTTGGTTCCAATAGTGTTTTGCATTTAGCTACACTGTGATGTTTTGCACTATGTCAATTTTAGCGCTGTGAGGTAGGCTTTAACATTTTCTATTCATGGGTTTCAGTCACGTGACTTTTTTGTTGTGGCCGCCATCTTTAGGACCTTTGAGTTAAATTGAGTAGTATCTCCCTGGTGATTGGAAAGATGTCGCACACTAAAATAGCACACCTCACTACAGACGAAAAACAACGGTATTTAAATAAAATTAGGTATAGATCCTTATTTACTGCCAAACGAACTGCTGACTCCACTAAAGTCTTGTAAAAAGTTGCCAGATTTGACGTTTGCTGATATTTATATCTACCTCGTCCACAATCCCTCTCCATACACCGGCGAAGCTCTCAAAGCATTTAAAAGCACTGAAGCCTACCTCTACTTCACTTCGGGATGGGTTAATGATCCCAAAATCTATCATCTGGAGATGAAGAAAATGTTCTTGATAACAGGACGGGTAAGTGATATTAACGTTACACGAGTAATCGCTGCATCGCTGAACTGAATTGCTAATAATGTCGGTAAAGCACATCTCCTGTATTATTATTGAGGTTTGGACACCTTTATTTTCAATTCTTATTTATTTGTAAAACGCTTTTCACAATATCGTTTCAAAGCAGCTTTACAGAAAATGCATGGGTCTACATTACAATTTAGAGGGTCCAAGTTATGCATTTCAGAAATGTTTAAAAATCACGCAGTTAGCTATAATCTATTAATTTAAACAATGTATTAATTTAAGGCAGAAACAGTGAGCAGTAGTTTAGCATACTGAAGCAGGTAACAACAACATAATTCAGCCATACATATAACATATAACAAGTTTAGTAATGTAAAAATAGATAGCTGTCTAGAATGACGTTTTACGTGTTACAATTGTAAACTACATGTTTTAATTTAGCTAGCTAACCTGTAATATGCAATAATAATGTAAAATTAAAAGTAATTTTACTTTTATTAAATTTCCAGGTGAAGCATTCACAAAGCCTCAGTGTAACACCAACACACCCCTGGATAACAGTACAGGAAGATGGGACTGTTCTCATGGCTCACTGCACCTGTAAGGCTGGTTTAGGAGAGGTTTGCTCTCATGCAGCAGCTCTAATGTATTGTGTTTTGGCTTCTGTTGATGTCAATAATGGGCAGGCTTGCACCCAGAAGCCCTGTGCATGGGCCCAGCCAAGTATGGAGTCTGTCCGAGGTGTCCAATATGCAGAGATCCGTAACATCAGTTTCTGTCATAAACAAGAGCCCCGTCATGTTCAAGGCCCTGGTTTTCCTGACATTACACCATCAGATGAAGAGTGCAGGGTGTTTTTTGAGATGCTTCATCACAGTGAAATGCAAGAGTCAAAGCCAAAGAAAAGTGCCATCCTTTCTGTCATCGAGGGCCACTCCCACATGTACACCGTGTTGAAATATAACTAAGTGCATCCAATAACATAATGCATATGATACTTTAATGAAGTATATACCTGAGTTTTGTGTCAGTTTTACCTGACACAACATATTTTACTATGGTATTTTTGAAAGGGATAGTTCACTCAAATATGAAAATTCTGTCATCTACTCGCCCTCAAGTTGTTTCAAACCTGTATAAATTGATATACAATATCATGCTTACAACATCTTGCATATGCACACAAAAAATGTATTTTAAAGAATGTTTGTAATCAAACAGATGATGGCACTCATTGACTTTTTATAGTAGGGAAAAAAAAATACTATGGAAGTCAGTAGCTACCGTCAACCGTGTGGTTACCAGCATTATTTAAAATATCATATTTTGTGTTCAGCAGAGGAAAGAAATGTATAAAAGGTTGGAACAACTTGAGGGTGAGTAAATGATGACTATCACTTTTTCAAGTCAAATATCTGAATACATCTTCCACCACTGCAGGTACACGCCAAAGGTGATGCAGCTGGACTTGCCCACTCCTTTGTCAAACATATATTCAAGCACCTGGCTGGAGATGGACTTGCCCACGCTACTGGTTGAGAGTGTCAAGGTCTTTGATAACCTACATCTGACACAGCAACAGGTAAGTATAAAAACTTTACCAACTAATTACTACCAATATTTCTACCTGTGCAGTTTAAATTCATGTAGATAATTGACTAAATAACTAACAAACCTTTCTCCCTGGATTGGAGCATCACCCGACGGCATGGTAAGTTGCACTTGCCATGGTGACGGCGTCCTGGAGATAAAATGCCCATTCAACAGCAGGGACCGTTCACTCAACAAAAGCTGCAGAGATTCATCATTCTGTCTTTGCATAGGAGAGGATGGGACAATGGAGCTTAAGACTGACCACAAGTTCATGTATCAAGTGCAAGTTCAGATGCATGTTTCCATGGTGAGTTACTGTGACTTTATTGTATGGACACCACAGGAGTTTTTCATCCAGCGGATCAAGTATGATCCTGTTTTCTTCCACAATGCTTACCTCAAAGTGGTTGAATTCATCAAGACTAGAGTACTACCAGAGCTGCTGGGAAAATGGTATACAGCTCCACGCCATACTCCCACACACACTACAACCACTGAACAGCCATCCGAAATGGGATGCTACTGTGGTAAACCTTGTGACACCGATGACATCACCTGCACATCTGGACAATGTACGCGGAAGCACTTTCACAAGTCTTGCCTTAAATTGAGCAGGGTACCGAAGACATGGAAATGTGTGGAGTGCAGAAGAAAACGTGTAGTTATTTGACGTGTATATATTTACAAAAGTTTTTTGATTAATCAGTTTATTAATCAAAACTAATCAAATCAAACCCGCTTATTTACATCAGCGTCCTTTCAACATAATCTCCATGAAACTTGTGCATTACAAACTAAAATAATATTTGACGGTTACTGAAGTATATACATTTTTTGGTAACACTTTACAATAAGGTTCATTAGTTAACTACATTAGTTAACATTAACTAATAATGAACTGCATTTATACAGCATTTATTAATCTTTGTTAATGTTAATTTAAACATTTACTAATACTTTATTAAAATCTTGTTAACATTAGTTAATGCACTGTGAACTAACAATGAACAGCTTTATTTATATTAACTAACATTAACAAAGTTTAATAAATAATGTAACAAATGTATTGCTTATTGTTAGTTCATGTTAGTTAATACATTAACTAATGTTTAATAAATGAACCTTATTGTAAAGTGTTACCCATTTTTTTTACCATGACTTAATGAAGTTGTAATATACCTTATTTTATGAATTATTTGATTATTATGAATAATTAACAATGAATAGAATAAAAGCAATGTAGTTTAATGAAACCTGTTTTTTTTATTGCAAATATAAAACAGAATTGTATAAAAACAAACAACAATTCATATTATTATGTGTTACACTGGGAACACAATGTTACTCTCTATTCTGAGGGCACAACAGATGGGCAAATATTACACAAAGCACAGCAGACTTTGACCATCTTGTCCAGAGATGTAAGTTCTCCTGGAATTGTAGTCTGGCAAAGAGAGATGGGTATTGTGCTTTGCAAAATTGTGTACTTGTTTCTTACAAGACCAATGACGCGTTCCACATGGATCCGAACAGCTGCTAGTCCCCTTGTAGTTTCAAGTTCACTTGGGTGCAGTTGCTGTTTCCCTTTAGTGAAGGCAGGTAATTTGAGATGAGCACTGTACAAGCCCACAGCATCTCCTATGGTAAACCCTCGATCTCCCAAGACGACATCACCAGGTGACAGGTTTTCCAGGTAGCCGCAGTTTTCTGTCAGATGCTTATCACTTGTTTGCCCCCCCCCCCCCCCCCCCCCCAACCAGTAGAAACAAATGATATGAATCCCTGTGGTGTTATTGAGATCAAATACTTAACAGTATTATGATGTTTGTACTGTGAATATGTTTGTGCTCGCGCTCTCATGTTCTTAGGCTTCTCAATGAAAATTTCAAAACAATCTATTATGGAAGTACAATTTCTGTAACTGCTGTTTTTGAAACACATAGGTAAACTTATTTGAATCTGCTCCTTGCTGGGCCACACTATGAATGAAGACAACCTACTGTTCATGACATTTAATGTACTGTTAAAAATTCGGCTTACAGTAGGCTTTGACACGTGAAATATATATGTAAAAAAGTGGAGAGGTAGATTCAATCTCATTCTCATTAGAGTCATTAAAAAGCAGTGAAAAGGAGTCAGCCCAGGTCCCGCCTTTAGAAATCCTGACAAGAAGGTGAAGACGACCATCATCTTGGAATAGGATGGAAGTCCAGTTAAGTCCTGGACCATCTCATCATTTTCTTTGAACACCTCCTGCTGGAAAGATAACTTGCTTGCCCTGTCCCTAAGCTGATGAACCTCAGCCCTCAGTCTGGCACACTCTTCCGTCAGTTTCTTCACAGTTTCTCGACAGGCTTCATCAGTGCATGCTACACGGCTCTCAGTATGGATAGGTTCTTTAGAGTAGCTGTGTTCCCCACTCTGCCCGCTGTCAGTGTTGTCAATTTCAATGTCAGTAAGGTTATCATGGGGTGACACTGACACATCACTGGTACATCTCTTTCTTTTAACAGCCTGTGTCTGCTCATATTTTTATAGCAATTTATTCTTCTTTGTCGTTGCTCAGATGACAGGTAGCCAAAAATACTTGGCACATAATCGGGGTTCAGAGGATTTTCACTTTTTTTGCCTGCAGTGGTAGAAGATGAGACACCAATTAACGTTACCTACTCAGAATTAGTTACTGTCTAACAGTGGATATAGTTAACTTAACGTTAGCAGAGACACAGATGACCTATTTTGTATGGAAATGTTAGCTAGCTACACATTAACTAATTCAATTTGTCTGCAAAGGCTGATTGGTAAGGAACTAGTGTTAATGTTAGAACAGCTAACGCTAAACTAGCCATTATTTACCTGAAATAAAGTGCTCACTGCAGAGTCTGGAGTGTTCTGTAGGTGTTCAGTGATCCCTCTTTATAGCAGCAATCCATCTCTGACGACGCTCAGGGTTTTTGGGGATATTGTAAAACGTTAATTTCTCATTTCTTTGAGATTTGCTGTTATCGCAGCTTACAGCACAGCAGATAGACGGCATGTTTGGATTTGGTCCTACAAATGGCGGCCACACAGCTGTGTGACGTCACGTGAAACCCGTGAATATTTGGTCTTATGGCTCCGCAGCACAATAGGAGCCAAGGCCTTTCATTATAATTCAGCAACAGACATGAGAGTCCTTTTTCTTCAGAACCTCAATTTGTCCAGAGACAGATATTAACTTAAAAGTAAAGCATTCTTGGTGTTTTTGTCATGTTGAAATAGCCTGTTTACACTGATTATATACCTAAATCAAAGCTGATACTGTATGCTAATAGATAAAGGAGTCATAATAACATTACATGCTTTGAATTCCTTATATATGAAGTGTTCTAAGCAGCCTGGATGGGTCGCTGTACGTGATGCAACACTTATTATAACCACAAGAGACTTCAGACTTGACTTGGACTCTAGTTCAGAGACTTGAGACTTGACTTGGACTCTAGCTCAAAGACTTGAGACTTGACTTGGACTCTAGTTCAGAGACTTGAGACTTGACTTGGACTCTAGTTCAGAGACTTGTGAGCATCTCTGCATCAAGCTGAAAAGAAACAAACAAGGAGAAAACAAAAACAAACAAGAACATAGAGGGACTCAAGCAAGTAACAGCAAGTAACTGGACACTGACATCAGTAAGTTTTTGCATTTATTACTATAAAACAAGTCCCAACTGAAAAACTCAAACTAATAGCTAACAAGCTAACATTGGACTGTGGTTACCTAGCAACGGCATCAATAACAGCAGTAGTGCTGTTTTAAACAAGGAACACAGAAGCTTGAAGATCAACTGTTTCATGATGTCTACACACTTTGACACCATTGAATATCCCCCAGCTATCAAAAGCAAAACTGCAAGAGGAAAATATAAACAGACAATACTTCGAGAAAAACCAGAAATCCTGTTCCTGGATCATTACAAAGATGGAAGGTCCAGTAATTTAATCTTCTGGACTGATGAACCATATGCCTGGCTGAATGTGTTCAGCTCTCACTACCCAGCAAAAAAGAGAGCAGGCATTTGTAATGGATGGAAAATAAGTGTACTGGAAGAAAATGACTCTGACACCACCAGAATAACAGTGAACCTGTTCAAAAATGGAACTACCATGATACAAGGCGACCTGAGACAGTTTGAGTGTGACTTTCCTGCAATGAGACTGAGAGCTGAGAAGGAGAAAGAGGTCCTCGCAAGCATCGCTCCAACCCTGAGAGTCAAACCGTCCTGTTCTGTCCCTGCTCCAGACAGACAGGCTGATGCTGACACTGATCTTCCCCTGCTACAGCACTCTGAGGCCCTGGACATCATGAGAGAACACTTCTCCCAGATGGAAATAGAACTGGTAAAAATCAGAGAGCAGCTGGACCAACAGCAGCATACAACCCCTACTGTCAGTGACTTCCAGGCCAAAAAAGAACAGGACAGTGTCAACTCACAGCTGAGAGAGCTTCAACAAGAACTAGATCGTCAGAGAAGACAGCTGGATGATCTCAGTGAGGAGATTAAATAACTTAGGAAAGACAGAGACAACTGCAGAACTGAATTGGCTACTCTGAGAGAAGAGCTACAGGACAGGGACAGGCTCAGCCTACAAGCCAGACTGAGCTCCACACAACCCCCTGTGCCCACCTCTCAGATCCAGACCACATCCAACCAAACTCCCATTACACCTGCTGAAAGACAACACAGCCCTTTCATCGAGGACCTCCCCCCTCTCACGCAGCCTGGTGCAGACTCTAAACTCCCCCTGTACCAACCAGCTGCCTCCATACAAACTTCCCAAGCCAAAACACCAGTCACAATCCTGCACCTGTCCAAGGCCCTTCCTCTAACCAGCCTCCAGCTAGGAGCTCCAGACCTGAAACCACCACCACAGCTCCACATCCAGACCCGACAGCTGAGAATGAACAAACACACACAGGCAGAAGGGCTGACATTATCCTCCTCATGGACTCAAATGGAAAGTTCCTAAATGAAAAGACCTTATTCCCAAGGCACAGAACGGAGAAGATCTGGTGCCCCAATAC